TGTCGATCTAGAAACCTGGAGGAGAGGAGATCATATCATCTGCGCTGCCTACTTTATTAAGAAGAGCCTGCCTGTGGAGAACTGTTTGTTATGGCTGCAGAATAAAAAAAGACCATCAATGTGGAGTAAAGTTGGCTCTGGCTCTGCTTCACAAACACACTGACAGTCTTATCACAAATCCCTGCAATAATTAGTGCAAACATTATGTTGTGCAAATTATATTTTCCTTAAATCCGTGCGCTTATTTAAAATGAGATGAAGACGGTTGTTGGGGGCTGTGTAAACGCACGGCCCCGCTGCTTACCTGCAGCAGTAACATAGGGTTACCACCGCATGCTGCTGCTACATTTACATACACGACTCCCATTGACTTCTCCCTGACAGCGTCAATGTCAGTGATTTGTGTGACAGCTTTTCCAAACATTACCACAGCTAATAGAAAGGCATTTAGCCCCCTGGCTAACGTTAGCAGCAGACATTAGTTCATGTGCATTGAAAAAGGGCTAACTGACTGCTCAAAAGCAGCTTTAGCGGCGTTATTCAATGTACACATCAGTCCAAGAATTAACTATTCTAACATAAAACACACTGCATTGTCTAAGGATTACAAAACAGACAAAATATGAAAAGAAAATACATCATATTCTCTGATTCCAGCTCCTCGGCTCAATTGTTCTTTCTCAACTCACAACTTATTTCACTGCCCCGTAAGCTTTTTCACAAAACCACACTTATGTTTTACCTTTTTCTCGAGTGAAATCCAAACTAGGGTGATCTGGTAAAGGGTCGCTTTCTGACAAATTACCCCCAAATCACAAAATAAGCGTTAAAAACGACAAAGACAGGAGAAAATATCCTCTATATATCAGAAACGACTTTCCCTTAGGCAGACATTTTTACTGTGCACAAGCCTCAGCACCACGATGGCATCGATTATTGTATCCCTCCGCCGAGCGCAGTGACATGCTGCTCTGACACACACATATACACCCACACTAACACACTAAAGACAGTTTCTTCAGGTTTTTGTAAAGACTTGGATTCATCTGCCAATAATAATTGCACGCGCTAACACAGTGGTTCCCAAAGCGACGGGGCGGGCCACCCCAGGGTGCGCAGAGCAATTCTCAATGAATTACTATTTCAATTTTTTTTTTATTTGCGACATAGAAATTTCAGTGATTTGTTATTTAATTCTTCAATGAGAAAGTTATTTATGTAGAAGTTACCATTTAGTCAGGACTTAAAGCAATATATGTATGAATGTGTCAACACTGGTGTGGCTGCCCGACATTAAACCTATGTATGTTCTGCACTAACTTACACAGCAATACACGTCTTCATTCACATCTTCATCATCAGCCTAAAGACTTCATTATTACTGGAGAAATTTTAAATACAAAAATTTTAAATACAAAACTGTTATAATTTATTTGTATTCCTTCACAGTTTTTATCACCTTACAACAAACAACACTATTGATGTCAATGAACTAATGAAACATTGGTGGACTGTAATATTGTTTTGTATGTTATCCTTTTTATGGAGTCGTAGACCCAGATAGGAAGGTGTAAATAAAGGGGAAAAAAGAAAAAAAAGGCTATTGATATTGTGTTGAAATGAAGGTACTGTACATGTCAACAATTTTCTCTAAGTGAAAAAGACATTTCATGTTTTGCAAAGCAGTAGATCCAACTTATTTGAAAACAATAAGCTCTCATCAACGTACCAAACAAAATTATGATGCAGCTTTTTAAGACTACCTTCCAAATAAAATGCAAAACAATACATGAGGATTATTATTACGCAATTAATAGATGTTTAATCCAGTGTTGTGCATTAACAGAATAATGACAGCATATACATATAATGACAAAGAAAAACATCTTCTGTTTAAAAAAATTTAAAACACCTTAAGTATCACCTGTAATTAATGGAACAAAAACAAAACATTATCAAGAGACAAAACATGTTTTTGACATTTTTAAATTAATGGATAAAATTGCAAGGCTCCATCACAACATAAGGTATGAACTCTTGCTGACTTAAAGAATAAGCAAAGACAGCAGTGGTAATGCGTCATCCAACGGCTATCTTTAACACCTGCAAATTGGGCCTTTTCAGTTTATATTTGCATGATGACTCTGTAATGGAGATTTAAGCTAAAGAGCAAAGGTAATTTTCCAATGCACATTAAGCATTTAGTTAAGTCACATGTGGTGTTTGTTTTCCTCTAATGAGTCTTTTACATTATCTCACAGAAGACAAACAAACAAAACTGTTTGGGAATAATTCACTTTCTTAGAAAGTGGGGCAGAATGGTGAGATGAGGCATATTCAGCCATATCACAATACTTTAGCATGGGGGTTACTATTTTATGTACACCTTTATTTACATTTTCTGCAGCAAACCTGCTTTGGCACAACTGGTGGCACATCTTTAAATACAGGTTATATTATGGACATAACACGATTGTAATGAATAAAGGAAAGACTCCATGTTTTGTTATCACTGTATTATACAAGTAATGTAATAACTTTTGTTGAACATACATGGGAAAAAAAGAAACAACTTTGTACAAATCGGACATCAACTAGGGTATGCCGTAGTCTAAGGGTTTCTAAAGCAGTGTCACCTTATGTGAACTTTAGCTGTATGGCTGCAGCCTTTGCTAAACTAAAATGCACAACTTCACATAGAACGTGACCGATGACGCCGGTGAGACCTGAGCAGTATGTTATAAAACATGCTGTTGTTGAGTTTTTAAACGTCTCCAAATCCCCTGAGTTTCCTGTGTCCACACTTCCCTTCTGTTGTTCCTGGCTCACTGCGTCACTGAACGTGAAGTTCTCATCATCATCACATTTTGGAAGTTCTTGTTGCTATTTATTACTTTGCATAAATAGAAAGTGTTTACTTTTATTACACCTCCACACCTGGCATAAGCCACTGTCCGGGGACATGTTTTTGGTAATTTGTCTTATCTTATTTCTGACAAAAGAAAACAACATTTGGTTTTTATTTCTATAGGATTCTGAATTTCAATGACCAGAACGGACGTTATAAGAAATGAAATATTGACGGCTAAGTTTCTGTTAATGAAGTTATTGAGAAATAGTTTAGATTATTTGAACATGAGCTGAGGAACAAAAGATGTTGGGGATAGAATTGACAGAGAAAGGTACTTGAGAGTCAAGAGAAGAAAAAATACGTGTATTTACACAAAAGGTCAACTGTGTTGACCCCTGAAAAAAAGTACAGAAGATTTGAAGAATGTTATTTGTCATCAACACCAGCAGAGCCTTTACTAAAATCAAGTTAAAATCAAATTGGACTAATGATTATTGAATTGTTCAGATGTGACATAATAACAATGGCTGAACAAACATGGCTTTCTTGCTTTGTGTTCTAAATATTTTTTTCTGTAACATTTATGAGATGATTATGGCTGTAAATGTGTGCCTCAAAGTCCCAATATTCTTCTTTACAACATATTTGTTTTGAGGAAAAAAGTGGCTTAAAACAAACAATAAAAGGGAAAATGTGTTTCAGATGTGTTCAAGAAGATTTTTGAAGACTTTAGAAAATGATGAGAAGATTCATCTGTGTGCCTGGAACCCATTGGGTTGTAGACAACTGAGTTTATTTATAATACTTCTCATGTGTTTTATATTTTTCACTGTTGTGGAGTTTGTTTACCGCTTGTTAGTTTCTGGTGTACATATGTTTTTTTTTTATTTCTCTAATTTGATTTTTATAATTTCTAAAATAAGAAGATTTTAGTCATTCAACTCCAATTATTTTTTTATTTTCAAAAAAGCCTGGTTTTCTGATTTGCTATTGGCAATAACGTCAAAATTAGATTACTTACATCCTGAAATGATGAAGATTATTATGAGGGCCTAGGAACAGACAGACAAGAACAAAGACTGGTTGACCTTACAAGACACAAAGGTAACAGGGAAGGAACAGGATTTATGTGACATGTAGACATTTAAGAAAAGTTAGGCTCAAAATAGTCTAAGCATAAAAAGACACAACTGTGCCCAAATTGAAGAATAGTTCAGTGTCACATCACCACATAGTGGTCAGACTCAGTGGTACAAATGTGCATCTAATTTTTTCATGTCAACTGAGCATCACCTTTCTTACCTTGCATATCCAAATGTTAGGTGAACGACAACGTAATTCATATAGAAATAACAATTGTTGCAATAATTAGCTATCCAAATTTGAGACGTATGAAAACAAGGACTTGTGCCACATTTTATTGGTCATCTGGCACAAAGGTCATAAAAATCTTTAGACACAAAGAAGGGCCTGGACCCATAAATATAAAATCTTTTCATTTTTACGAGCCATGTTTTAGTCAAACACTTTGGCAACTAAAATCTCTGTTTTTTTAATTTGTGCTCATAATAACACAATGTGAAAAGCTATTGCTGGCATCATAAAGCAAACCTCAATAATACTTAGATTAAAACACTACATAATTTCAGCAACCAGCTTCTGCTTCCAGTGTTTTTCTGTGGCTTCCCAGCAGAATCATGGCCTGCAACAAAGGTGACTCTGTCCAATTTCTATGTTTGCTCTACAAGTATTAGCCTACAGTAAACCATTTGAATTTGGTCTACTGTAGGCTAATATAAAACGGTCAGGTTCCTACATTGCGCCCATTATTACCGGCTCCTGGTGTAAGTCAAATTTGACATAATGAAGACATTAGCTCGCCACCTTATAGGTGGGTAACATTCATGTAATCATCTATTAATTAAATTTACATTTTTTTACATTTACATGGAACAACATCTGTATGTTATATATATATGTATATATATATATATTATATATATATATATTATATATATATATAACTTTTTTAACAATGAAGATTGGCGATTTGCTATTGTGATCATTGTTGTGATGAAAAATGTTACACAGGGGGCAGCACTTTGTTGCTGAGGTTTATAGTCGCTTGAACCTCGATGTGAAGAAGAAAATTCGGTGTGTGATTGGTGCAGACTGTCTTGGTGGTCTTCTGTCGCCCCAGGGGCCGCAGCAGAAGGACGCCCCCTCCCTCTGTCTGCCTGGAGCATATTCCTTTTTTGCGCGAACTTGTTGTCCTACTGTGGACGTTGCCGAACGTTGTAAATCTGGCCTCAGCTGTGGCGCTTCCTGTGTGTGGGGGAAGCAGATAGCAGACACTGTGAGCCCGACAGTCAGAGCCAGACAGGGAGCAGCCTTTGTCCCATCTTTCGTCGCTCAGGTAATTCACTGACTTCCACAGGGAGCAAATCTAATGCTGTGCTGATACGAACTGACCGTGCCAAATGTAACCAAGGGTAGAATGCGACACCAGTGTCAGTAGACCCTCAGTTTTTCAACCTTGTCTGCAGCACATGAGCACCCCAACATTAGCTTTTTTAGCATTGGTGGCTAACGTGTCCAACCAGCTAATAACAACAACACAGTACTGAACAAGAGCATGCTAATGTTAGCTTTTGATGTGGGAGAACTAAAGAAAACGGACACACCTCTATGACAGCATTATACTTTCTATAAGATGTATTATGGCAAATCAATTATAATGTCACCGCCTTTCCCTCTCAAGAAAAAGCTTTATTCATGTGCTACAAAGTACTTGTAGCACATGTACTAGCCATTCATATGTTTTCCCTTCTGGGATGTCATCATACATTTACACCTTGTTTGGTTCCGTTGTAAGAGAAAAAAACTGCTCTTTATCGAGAGAAATGCACCATAGAATGGTCCACTGGGTCATGGGGACTATTAAAAGTTTACAGAGATGCAGAGACCTTGTCCTCTGCCTGTTTTTTATCATGAAAGTGATGAGATTGTACCAAGTCAGAAACATACAGTAGTACTAATGTTAATTGTGTTGCATGAAAAAGGTGGTTGTTTTGATATATATATATATAATGTTGTTTCCCACACTCTTTTTAAAATCTGTAGCCTAGTGCTTTGGTATTATAGTAAAGTATAGTGTTTTTTACTTTATTACCAAATCAATCAAACTAAGATTTTTGGCTGTTGTTCTGAACTGTTTGCAGCAGGTCATAGAGAGAGTTGGACAATAACTGTCAAAGGTAGCTTCTTTTTCTTTTCTTTTTTGTTTTATCAAATGTTCTTTTTTTGTTGTTGCAGCTCCACAATGTCTGAACTTTTTATGGAATGTGTGGAGGAGGACCTGGAGCCCTGGCAGAAACCAACACCTGAGGTGCATCTGATAGAAGACGATGACGATGATGACGAACCCATCTTTGTTGGAGTTCTCTGTAAGTTTCAAATACATTTCACGCTAATATACTCAAAGTTTGTATAGAGCAGTGGTTCTCAAACCTTTTCTACAGAAAACATTGAGCTCTCTGAGTACCACCATGATGACCAACATTAGAATATAGCAGCGTAGGCCTTCCCTGTTAGCTCAACCACAGGAGAGATGTTTAGAAATGTTTATAAAGATGTTTATATTTATATGTTGTATTAAATGTGCATGCTATGTTTCAGATTTATTCAATTGAAAATGTAAATGTAAAAATATGAATTTTGCCTGCGTACCACCAGAGAGTGCTCGTGTACCACTGGTTGAGAACCACTGGTTGAGAACCACTAGTATGGAGTATCAAGCATTTTAACACGTATCTTTGTAGTGATATTATATATGTATATGGAAAATTACAGATACAGATTTTGTTCTCTTGACTAGTATTTTGTTGCATCTTTTGCCAGCTGTGCCTCTTCTGAAGTTTACTGCTACACTTTAAAAGGATTAAATAGCAGATTTACTTTTCTTTTTTTTTCTTTTCTTTACAGCAAATGACCAAAACAACAGAGAGCACAAAACTCTATCTACTAAAACATCTGCTCTAAAGGAACAATGTCCACCAAAGTCACTAACTGCAGGGAAACATGTAGCATCCCCACTGACAACAGTGACTCCAAAACCTGTCATTATCAATAACCAGGTATTTTTTATTTATTTTTTATTAGCCTGATATATGATAAAGAGAGACTGTGTCCTAATGTTGATTCAATCCATTTTACAGGGCTTTATTGTAGCTTCTCCACAGTTAGCAAACACTGGTGGACTTATTGCCTCTCTTGGTAGACAGTATCCTCCTGGAACATCATTTACAATTGTACCAGGTAAAACAAGGCAAAACCATCCCATTGGAGAGTATATTGTCAACAAAAAACTTTATTGGAAATTGAAATGGTTATGCCAATTTTTTAAGACTTCATATCTCTCGTTTACAGCTGGCCAGCAGCAGGTTTTTCAGCAGGTCAGTACAGGATCAGAGATGTCTGGTGCTGTTCACAGGCCTCAGGTGCAACGAATTAGCAACAACATTGTTACATTATCTAATGTCAAGAGCCCGCCCCTGTTTGGACCTCAAACTACTATCCAGCCAGTTCATTCAGTTAACACTGTTGTCTCTAAAACAGGTAAGTTGTATTTTTACTCCCACAGTGGTTTGATGTTGGTGAGTATAAAAATAATAAATGTGTTTTCTTGGGTCTAATGCAGATCAAACGTCATTTAAGCGACTTTTACCAAAAGAGCAAATAGACAACATAGTCAAAAGAGCAAAGCTTGATTCAGGTAAGTGTCCTGAAACAATAAAACATTTTTAAAAAGTTGTATCTCTTTAAGTCAGTAAAGTGAGAAAACACTAATGACACTTTTATTTACCAACTCTCTCAGGAGAAAATGGGACCACAAAGAAAAAATGCTTTAAGTGTGCAGAAGAATTCTCCACAACAGAAGCTCTAACATGTCACATCAGGGTGAGTAAAAGTCAGGCACTGCCGCGTCATCACAATTTTAAGGGTGTGTTTGGATCTTTGATCGGCCAAATGTGATCTCCACAAAAACGTGATTAATGTGAGTCTTCTCTTTTGTTTCAGAGTTGTCCTTTAAATAATGAAGGGAAATCTCCATCAGCTCAAACCATGGCTGCAAACAAGTTCATCATGCTGGTTGCTGATTTTTACTATGGCGAGTTTGAAGGCGATTGGAAGCGAAAGGAAAATCAGAAAACCAACATGACTTTTAAGTGCCAGAGTTGTTTGAAAGTTCTCAAGAACAATATCAGGTAAGTTAGCGTTGTCATAAAGCAAGCACAATGCACAGCGCTGATCTGAGTGTTTTGCTGTTACATTATCATTCATTGGATGTGGTGGATGTGTTTGACAGTGTAGCTCAGTATTTACTTTTCATTCAGGAAAATCGAAATCATAAATGAGATGCCATTTTGTTTAGCTGTTTGACAGAGGGCAGTATTAAATTGATTAATATGAAAAGCTCAAGCAAAGTATAATGGTTTAATGCGGATGCAGTGGTTTAAATATAACTAAAATGATTACATTTAAATGTCTGGAAAAAACAAGACGCATAATTTTACATAATGTGGATGAGGTTTTATATATATATATATATATATATACATATATATATATATATATATATATATATATATATATATATATATATATATATATATATATATACACACACACACAGACATTTTGGTTGACGACTGATTTAAATAAATAGATATACACCTGAACTGAATTTTCATCTATATCCTCTCTGTTTACTATGTTCATGCTGTATATTAATATAATACATTATTATATAATAATAAAATATAATAGCATTTTTAGATTTTATAATGTTAGATATGTGTCTAGTGGCAGTAAAGAAGAGAAAGATGAAGTCATGTTGGGCTCTCACTGCAATTTTCTACCCAGATGGATGACAGTATCACAGTGTTTTCCTCTTGGGTCTAAAGATGAAAAATGACTGCTAGTTTACTGGGTGTAAGAACTGTTCCTTTGATTAAATAACTTGGGTTCCAAACACTACAAAAAAAGCTTCAGTAAGCTGCTTTTAATGGGGAAACACATTTGTACTGCAAGTGCACTCTCACAGTAGAGGTCAAAGGGCACCCACATAAAAATTTCTATTAGGGGAGCTGAGGAAGCGAAATGTACAGGCTGAAAAATGGGCCGTGTCTGTTCAGGGCATCAGTGGCAGGAAGCTGTGGAAGTGTGCGTCGCAGCCACTCAGGCACTGCATCATTAGGAAACACAAAAGTCTTTGTGTAATTGCTGATATTATAAGGACCATTATACACACTTAGAACGTGAGGGCCAAAGAGATTATCTCATTTATCTTTAAACCCTTCTGGGATCCCCATCATAACTGCAACATGCTCACAGCCCATGAATATTTAAATTTTTACCCTCTACTGTTAGACGCTGCTTTTATTTTATGGCATTTAATTTGTCTGAGTTCATTGAATCAATATATACTTCTTATAATAGCAGATGTCAGCGTTTGCAGACAAAAATAAAGGTGGTTTTTAATGCATTCACTCTTAACCTTGATGCTAATGTGTGTTCTCTTATCGAATACATACGCTTTGGTTAGCAAAAAAGTAAAAATAACGGTGACCTTTTACTACCTTAGAGAAATCTTTTTTTTCTTTGTAGCTTATTGTTCATGTTTCTACATTTCCTAAATATATTTTTCTTAATGAACAGAAGTGACTTGCGTTGTAGGGTTGAATCCATACACTCTGTCTGACTCCAAACTTTGAAGATATATGCAGCTACAAGGGTATTCTCTTATTTTAATGCTGAAAGTGGCAAAAATGCAAATAATTCTTAATGATTTTTAAATGATGCTGTAATTTATGTGCAGTAGCTGTCAGGTTTTGAGCATTTATTTATGCCGTCCCAGGTTGGGAAAAGAATTGTGTTTATATATAAACTGTTTATATGTAAACTGCATGCAGAAAAAAGGATTTATTTTTGTAGGCAGGGAGAAGCCTCTTACGTATACTTAAGGTAAATATGAGGATGGATAAAAAAAAGTTCTTAAAAAGATATTTATATTAAATGTTGTACAGGTTTAAGAAGTGAAATGAAGACACCTTAGGTTTCTAACAGCTTTGACAGGTTTTATCATTATATCTTTGTGAAATGTTGAGGTGTGTTATGTTTAGTTTTTTGGGGCACAATTTTTCTTGTTTTTTCTGTTTTAAAACTAAGAAAATTTGGGGGGGGGGTGTTTCAGTCAAGTCAAAGAAATAGATTGTGAGAAGTTCTCAAATGAAGACACACCTTACAGTTTGTCGGTAGACGGTAGAAAATGGGAAGATAAATATTTGTTATTTTCTGTTGTAATTAAGGATTTTTTTTGTCTAAGTCTTTTTTGACTAACCCCTGTTAATGTTGTTTTACAGATGCTAACTGTTTTAACATCTGAGTGTCTTTTTTACTCCTTAAATATCCTGCATAAAAAATGTTGACTTAAATTAAGATAATCTGAAAATGGAGGAGCAGCGACAGATGGTCCGTCCTTCAGGTGTCCTGTGTTCAGAAAAAGAAAAGTCAATGGAGGAATCGTTAATAGCAAACTTTATCTACCCTATATCTTAGCTCCACAATTTTAACATAATTTCTTCCTATTCTTTTTGTACTGAAGTATAGCACATCTAGAGGAACTGTTTTTTTTAATCACCTGTTTTTCATTTCTATTCCCATGTGCTGCACAGTTGCCAGAAGCATCTTTGAGTTTCATACCTCTGCCAGTTAACTGTAGGTCTGTAGACACACAGAATTTGGGAGTTCTTTACTTCTCAGTTAGAGAATGAGCCACAACATTCTGTCCCATAGCTGTTATTTGAATCTGGTTTTAGACAGTTAGGTAGTTTGAAATTTCCATCAACTGATCACAAAAATGACGTGTTTGTCTTTTCTGTCTGTGTCTGTCCCTCTGATCCTCAGGTTCATGAACCACATGAAACACCACCTGGAGCTGGAGAAACAGAACAGCGAGAGCTGGGAAAGTCACACCACATGTCAGCACTGTTACCGCCAGTACATGACTCCATTCCAGCTGCAGTGCCACATAGAGAGTGCTCACAGCTCCATCGAATCTTCATGTATGAATCATTTCAGCTTCTGCACAAAGTCATAAAGTACGACGGCTTAGACAAATAATATTTTTTCTGGATTCTTATCTTCTGCAGCCAATTGCAAGATATGTGAGCTGGCATTCGAGACGGAGCAGGTTCTACTGGAACACATGAAGAATCACCACAAGCCCGGGGAAATGCCTTATGTCTGCCAGGTCTTGTTCTCCGTTAGATTAAAGTGAACTACTGTGTGGTTACTCCAATGGTACAGGTTACAGAAAATGCAGATTCCAATCACTTCTGTGTTTTTGGTTGGTTTCCACGCCAGCTCTGACACACTTCGATAGAAGTGTTGAAAGCACATCTAATGATTTTGTTAAATGCATGCAATACAATATAATAATTTTTTTAAACTTAAATTATAATATATATTTTCTCATTCATAAATTCAGAGTGTTCATATTCGTAAAGTAAAAAATTTGAAAAGAAATAAAACGTAGTTGTAATAATTTTTGTTCCGAACCAAAAGAACTAATACAGGAGAGAAAAAACAGTTCAGTTTGATGTTTGGAGGGAATAATTCCACCGATGTTAAAATTCCAGTTTTGTGTCGACAGGTTTGCAATTACAGGTCGTCCTTCTTCTCAGACGTGGAGACACATTTCCGAACTGTCCATGACAACACCAAAGACCTGCTCTGTCCCTTCTGTCTCAAAGTCCTCAGAAGTGGTCACATGTACATGCAGCACTACATGAAACATCAGGTATCCTGCTGCGAGTTGTACAGTCTGTTTTCAGAGAACATTTAGAACCGTCCAATGGTTTATGTTGAAGTCTGTAGTGTGTCTGTTCTCCGACCACATTGTTTTCTTTGTTCTTCTAGAAAAAAGGAATCCATCGCTGTGGAAAATGCCGCTTGAACTTCCTGACCCAGAAGGAAAGGGTGGAACACAAGACTCACTTTCACCGGACCTTCAGAAAACCTAAAGCTTTAGACGGTCTCCCTCCAGGCACAAAGGTTTGACTCTCCTACAAAGCACCTGACTGTGATATTGGAATCAGTTTTTATTGTAATAATTTATTCACCTTTTTTAAAACAGTGAGCTTTGACCCCTAACTTGATATTTTTCCTTCTGGCAGGTAACCATTCGAGCCTCCCTCAGTGGAAAGAACACAGTGGAGCAAACCTCTGGTCGACCTGCTGTTACTATCAGTCCAGATTTCAGTCCGCAAACTGCAAGTCCAGCTGGCGTGTCCAAGAGTAAAGTGAGCATGTCTGGGGCGGCTAAAGGAAAAATAAACCAAAACAAAAAGAAGGACGATCGCACATCCAGACACAACCTTGCTCTCGTGAACCTCAGGTTCGACACTTTTTTGTTTGTGTTTGTAGATTCTGTTTTTAGTTTTATATTATATATAATATTTTATTGTAGAGGTCTTTTTCCTTTAAAAAAAAGACATGTTTAGACATTTATCATAAACTTTTAACTAGATAAGTTCTAGTTTATTTACTACCATATGACAAAACCATCAGTCATCAGAACGCAAAGCATAGAATTATGACTCTTTTGGACACTATTCATTATATTGATTGTAAAGTTGTTCTTGTCTTAATTTCTATTTTCAGTATCAACAGCGACCCCTACAGATGCATCGAATGCAACTCCCGCATCGATGACTTCTTTTCCCATTTCCCGTTGTTTTCCAGCTGTGGTGCATGTAAATATCAAACAAGTTGTAAAGTTTCCTATGGAAATCATATGATAAGGTGAGCGACACTTCAGCTGAAGAGTGATTGTGCTTCTTCTTTCCTGCATCTTCTCTAACCCTGAGGTCGTCTCTGTCTTCGGCCAGGTTTCACAGCATACTCAGCAAAAGCAGAAAGAACCACCACAAGAAAAAGTCAACCGCCTTAAAGTGAGGCTGAAGCTGTGTACCCTTGAAATACAATTCTTTGGTAGGATGAAGTGTTAATTTTATCTTTTTCACTTCTTTTTCAGATTTACTCTAGTCTGTCTCAACTGCGACCTCCTGGTGGACGCATCAGGTGGTGACCTGATGACAAAACATCTGACTGACCGACCAAGTCACGTATGCAAAGTCATTCAGGAGAAAAGTATGCTTTTTTTTCTCAAGTCAGTTAACCTGATTAATCTCCACAAATGATTGAATACAATAAACTGGTTCATTTCTATTTGCAACAAAACCTTAATCAGCACAGGAACAATTTCAACATAAATAATAATAGTCCAAATAATTGTCTTTTTGTTTTAAAATGATGTTTTCTGTTTTTTTTTTATTCCAAATCCAAAGATCAGAGGTAAGTAAAATAAAAACATTTACATGTTTTCTTTTTTGTCTTCTTTGTGTACTGCATTGATTATTGTTTAATGTGATTTAAATGTGGAATTTTCCTTCTGTAGTTGGATACATTTTAAATAGAATATGATTCTGTATTTTTTTCTTAACAATAATATTTTTTTTTTCCAAACCCTATTAGTCAGACAACAAAAGTGTTGTACATGATGACATCAGCACCAAATGAAGTAGATGTGAATAAGGCCGACACAGTCACCTGTGGAAGTTTCTCTGCTGACACCCTCAACCAACCAGCACCTGTAGCAACACCGGGGAAGTTGGCCGGAAAAGGTGATTCATGTACACTAGATGGCAGTGCAGAGCACCATCAACAACAAGCAAGTCTCCCGGGTCGTCAAAGTACTGTAAAGCAGCCCCCTGTTTGTGAAGTCGTTTCAGTGGACGACGACGTCAAACCTGACACTGACTCTGAATAAAACAGGAGCAGAAAGCAGATCAATTATATTTTTTCACCTAAAACGTTAACTTTTCTCTTCTTGAAATGATAGGACTGATTTTGACAGACTGAGCCTGTCCTCAGTCCTGTGTAGTCAGTAGTCTGCACACATCCTCCTTCACTTACTGTACATATACAGTATGCAAAACGCCTGTGTTTACAAAGATAAATGCATTCAGTACTGTGTGGTCTGCCTTTTAAAACCTGTAGGATCACTTCGTCAAATTTAATTGCACTTTTTCTCTCATTGTTTAAAACCATGACATTTGTCCATGATGTGATTCTGATTTTTCCTTTAAATGATCTGTACCATTGGGATCAGGTTCTCTCGGTTATACACTGTATACTCAGACTGTATTTCAATACTGCAGTGTCTTCACATTCAAACAGCATTTCCACCCCGTTTGGTCTCCTTTTCTTTCGAGTTCATTTTAGAGGCTACTTAGGATTTAGACATTTTGAAAATGTTTATTCCAAATATACTCTATAACTTATAATCTCTGAATGTCTCATTTTAAATTGCAGATTTAAATTTAAGGTCGTAATATTTTAATTTCTCTGTTCCCTACTCTGGTCTGCTGTTGTTACAGGTTCATGTTAAAGAGTTGAGGTGAGGGTTTACAGAATGTAGCTTTAAATTTATAGACAGCATTCAACACCTGCATTTTAGGAAAGTTGATCCTATATTTATTGATTGAGAATATATGTTTGTGAAATGTTTGGTGAAGGAATAAAAGGTGAGGTTTAAGCACTGGGCCCAAGAGTTATTGGAAGGTAAACTGTATTGCTGTCAATTGTGTTTAATTATAGAAATCATAGGAAATTATTTTTTTACTTCCCAACCATCGATGCCTCATTTGTTTTTAATCTTTCATTAAAGGAAAAACTTTATTTTCTTTTAAACTGGGAAAAAATAAGGAAAACATTGTTTACTCTTCTGGACAATATTTGTTATTTCAAGAAGTTTCCACTTGTACATACATCTGTAGAACAAGTCTGTAAATGCCTCTGTCTGTGCTGACACAGTAAAAACATCTTTATAGATTTTGACCTTCTTGGTACTTTGTGAGTCAAGGTCAATGTCAAACCACCTGTCTGATGTTCAGGGAATTGTGTTTTTGATAAAGTAACAGAAAAGCAGTGCCATCTACAGTAATTTCTGAGATTCTGCTCTTTTTTTTTATTTCTAACAAAGAAAACTCGTGTTAAATATAAAAAAAGAAATTGCAGTTTGAGGGCAAATAACAGAAATGACAGAAAAAGGTTCATCAATTGCTTTGGAGTTGTAGAAATTTACTAACTTGTTCAATTCATGTATAATGGAATTTTTTTTGTGGTTCACAGTGAATAAATACTTTACATAGAGGATATATATAAAAGTACCAGTTTCTAAAAAAAATCTTAGGAACAAGCTAAGGAGAAATCATTTCCCTATCTCTTTTGAAACTATAATTAAATGTCTTACTGCTTAAAGTTCAACCATCACGTCAGACACATGGGCTACATTTGGTCCATAACCCTTATTTTAGGCACTCTTACACAGTGGGTGTCTCAGAAGAAGAATGAAAATATAAAATTATATTCTGTCATTTTTCATGTGTCCTTCAGTGGTCTGTACTGCACATGATGTTTCTGTACCAGAGTTTTCACCTTTAGCCTGCTTTGATTTTGATCAGTTGTTGTTTAATGACAATGTAGGAATATATGAAATCATTTTTCACAGAAACAGTACATTCTTCAGACTTTGCCCTGTGGCCTGTGACTAAAACATTCAGCTGTTGTGTCTGGTTCTCTGCCTTCATGACTTCCCCTTGTTGAGAGCCTTCTTGAATTCCTCCTCCGTGAAGGACAGCAGCCTCGAAGCTTCGACGTGCATCTGTCCACAGATTTACACAGTCGGCTTTAGACTTGGTCAAAACGTGACCAGTAAATGGTTTGTACTGTATGATCGGAGGAGTCACTGACCTTAAGTTTCTTCAGAACATCGATGAGCTTCAGCTGTTTCTTGAATCCAATAATCAGTTCTGCTTTTTGTTTTTTGAGCACTTTGTTTTCAGTCAGTACAATTTCTTTACTCTGCTGTTCCGAACTCAGCTTGTCCTTATTTAACAGAGGAAAATAAAAAATAAAGTCATAATTTGACTCTGTTCAGTTATTGAAGAAAAGAAGCAGACAACATGGACCACATGTTTAAAGATTTTTGATGTGAAATGAAAACCTCAAGAACTGGTACAAAAATGATATGTGAAGATTCCAAATAATTTCAAATATGTGATAAAGCTGCAATAAGGGTTTTGTGTGTGTGTGTGTGTTCTGTTCACTGAAGACAAAGGGTCCATGTTCTCCACCAAATTATTTTATACAAGAGCAGAAGTTAAACAAGGACGTACTGAAAGTCGCCAGTGGAGGTCGCCACAGCCAGTGTTAGTCACTGTTTACCTGATGGATTTGCTTCATCTTGCTGAGTTGGGTCTTTGTTCTCTCCACCTCCTCCAGAGCTCTGTTCAGACGAAGCTCCAAAGCACCCTGATTGGCCGCTGCCTGCTCCTGGGCTTCATCCAGATCTTGTATTTCCTGCAGGAAATGATCACTGAGTCAGGTCTGGGCAGCATCAGTCAAGACACATACATAGAAAATAAAAAAATGTTGGTTTTTCAACTTTTTCATTTATTGGAATTATTTTTTAAATCTAGCCCATAATTTAAATGCAAAGTGAAATATTTACTTTTCAAACTCATCAATAATTTAAGAGTGGAAAATGAGGATTACCTAAACTGTCTCAAAGACAAGAGGCTGTGAATGAGGTCTCAAAGCTGTGTCCTGGAGTAGTCTGACATGACACTAAATGTGGCTTAAACACTAACCTTTTTTAAAGCAGACACCTGCAGCTGAAGACCTTCACATTTTTTAGTCGAGGCCTCGGCTAAAGCTCTGTGCTTCTCAATCTGTGTTTGCTGACCGTTGGTGGTCTTCCTCAACCTGGCTCTGTCCTCCTCTAGGTCTTTAATTTTTGCCAGGAGTTGAGCTTTTTCATCATCCTGCAATATCACAATATCAGAACAATGACGTCTATATTTTTGACTACGTCTCCAAACAAGCAGGGATGGCGCTCGTTGAATTAAAAATTATTGTCAGTCGACAGAGGCACAGCACCTTCTTAGAGTACTCAGATAAGAGTTGATCAAATTTGTCCTGTAATGTGTGTACTTTTGTTTTCAGTCCCTGCACCTGAGCTCCAGAGATCCCTAAACACAAACAGAACAACAATTGTGTAGAATGTCAGTACCACAGTACATGAAGAAAACCCACACACACATAAGAAAAACATTCCAACTCTGTAAAGTAAAACCATGGTTTGAACCGATGACTTCGGTGCCGTAGGGCCACTAATCACTCTCTAACAACCACTGTGACCCCTGCTGCAATATGTGGCAAAAACATTTAAGCCTTGCTTCACCAATAAACTACACAGCCGTTGTCTTCTGTCAGACGACAGAGGCCACATAGATTATTCTTCACAGACCCTGAACCTATCAGTCATTCTGACTGCGCGTCCTACATTATAGCAGCTGTCATTACGCCTTAAATTCCTTCCGTTCATTCATGTTCTTCTTCTTCTGTCACCCATCCTCTTTGACACGTCTCCATCTACTTCACTTTACTTCACATTAGTTTTCTCTGATGAGTTAGTTGTTTAGACTCCACCCCCAAAACTCTAAAAACTAATTTATTAGTCTAAAAACTAATAAATCCTAATATCATATTCATTACAGATTATACGGACATTTACCTGCTCCTACACCGTCTCCTGTTTTATAGCCATCTGTGTCCACTTTCTCAGAGGTAAGAGTCTTATTTGTGGCTCCAACGTTGGAATGATTCATCTTCGTCTCATCTTTCTTTCAAGTAGGTTAATTCATGGTGTTCTTAAAATGTCATTAGCACCTTCTTTACCTCAGACCCCTGCTGTAAACTGAACCCCGGTGAGTCTTCATTAAAGACACTGATGCTGAAGATAAGTGTCGATGTTTTTAACCTTTCATCATGTCTTCCTTTTATCTTTTTTTTTCACGCTCTGCTCAGGCTTCATCCCACTGGGTGTGTCAGAGACCTGACTGTACTCTAACAGCTCAGTAAAACCACAAAAGTCAAATGTAATATAACATTACAACTGTACACACAAGTAAAAACTGTTTTGCCAATTGGTTCCACCAAAACATTTTCATCTTCCATACTGTCCTTTTATCAACATGAAACAGGAAACTGATGTTTGTCATTTACCAACGACACCGAAACCGTTGCAACTGCAGCCTTCAACATGAAGCTAAAATTGTATAAAGTTGTATTTTGTGATTCTAGTGTTAAAGTACTTTGCTTCAATTGACCTCAGAAACACAATCCTACTAAGAGACAGCAGCTGACCTAAAGGTTCTGTAGTTCTGAGGAAATATGATTTATCAGAATACACTCTGAGAAAAAGAAAGCTGAGAATGAGTTGAAAATACAATGTCAAGTTAAATTGTAAGGTTTATCCTTCGAATCAGTCACAGTTTCCAGCACAGTCTCTTCATAATCACAGATCTCAAATACTGATAAGAAAGCTGTGGTTGTGAGCTAAAAGAGCGAGATTTTTGTTGTTGAAACATAAAAACACAGCAATACTCCATTTTCAAATTCTATAACCATTAGGTGGCGTGCTGCCCCATAACCTGTGGACAGGAACAGTGTTATATGACATTTGGATATCATTTTGCAAATTCACAAAGTGAAAGAAGAAAATGACATCCCTACATTCTACAACACACAGAATTCAGCACCAAAAACTGGACACATTTAATGAAGTGTTGAATCTTCATGACCTTCCCCAGTCCAGAGCTTTCATGAACTCTTCTTCTGTGAAGGACAGCAGCTTTGCAGCCTCAAAATGCATCTGCACATAAAAACAAAACCCTCTGGTTAAACTGTTGCAGTGCAGAGTTTCAATTGTGCGCCATGTCGACGAGACTCCGACCTTTTGTCTCTTAAGGATGTCGATGAGCTTGAGCTGTTTCTTGAATCCAACAATCAGTTCTGCTTTCTGTTTTTTCAACATTCTGTTTTCAGCCAGTAAATGTTCCTTACTCCGGTGTTCCTCGCTCTCCTTGTCCTGGTTAAACAGTAGATAAGGGAATGATTCGTAAGAACCTAAAATCAAGAATCTAAAAGTCGTCTGTGTTCACTGACTGTTCACCTTATTCATCTGCTTCATCTTGCTGAGTTGGGTCTTTGTTTTCGCCACCTCCTCTAGAGCTCTGTTCAGACGAACCTCCACAGCACTGTGAGCGGCAGCTGCTTGTTTGTTTGATCGATTCAGGTTTTCTACTTCCTGTGGGAGTTCAAGACCAAATTCAGGAAAAGAGTTCTGCGTTATTCAAACTTTCTCAACGCCCTGTTCTCTTGGTACAAACCTTATTTAAAGCAGACACCTGCAGCTGAAGACCTTCACATTTTTTAGTCGAGGCCTCGGCTAAAGCTCTGTGCTTCTCAATCTGTGTTTGCTGAATGTTGGTGGTCTTCTTCAACCTGGCTCTGTCCTCCTCCAGCTCCTTAACTTTCCCCAGGAGTTTGGCGTTTTCATCATCCTGCAACAACACGATTACAGCTCTGACAATGCAAACTATTAATGTCTGATTTTCCTGAGAAGTTGTGCGGAAACTAACTAAACAAAACACATTTCTAGATAATTCCGCGCCATCTATACCTTTATACTACCTTTTTATAAAATTCACCCGACAGCTGATCCAGTTCTTCCTGCAATATTCGCACTTTTGCCCTAAGGACCCGGATCTGAGCACTTGCGACGCCTGAGCGACAAAAAGAGAAGAGCTTATTTGTTGAATTCTTGTCAGAGAGAAATGACAATGACATCCACTCCATTTACCTGATCCTACGTTCTCTGCTTCGTTGGACAGATCTTGGTCATCAACAGTGTTTTCCTGGGTGTCGCAGCTGTTCATCTTCTCCTCAATGTCACGAATCGTCTTTGCCACAAACAAATCTGTGGAGTCGTCTACAGCCGCCAGCTCCTCTGCCCCAAGAACCTTTGTGCTTCTGTAGTCATTGGAGGGACATATGTTTGTTTTAAAACTGTTGCTTTTTTCTTTTTAAAATATCCTAAAATCGAACTCACTGAGGTTCACAATGAGTCTCTTTTCTCAGTGTTCTGGGACACATGTTCCGTGATGGGGATGTTATCCTTTTCTTAGTCATCATCTGAGAAAAGAACAGCAAATAGAAAAAAGACAGACGGATCACACACACAAAAACAACTACAATTAAGTTTCAACAAATATTGTCTACAATTGTATTATAGTACAGCATGATGATGTACCTTTAAGGCAGGCCCTCGCCCTATGCACTGGTCAGACTTTATTGTCCTGCAGGTAAAAATATAAAATATTAACTGGAATGTCTGTTGATTTTCTGAAGAATGTCAAATGCAAAAATGTTTCATTTGTTTAGCTGTTATTTATCTAGAAATAAAACTTGTTTTGATTTAAACACAATGGAGTTAAAACAGACTAGTGCATCATATCATAAGCAGTAACTCATAGAGAAGCCTATCAATGTCTGTCTCTCATTCTAACTCAGAGTCGTTTACCTTGAATCGCCTTCATCTCCAAACTCACTGAGCAGCAGTGTTGACATGGGCTTTGACAGAGCTTCATTCTGTTCTCTCTAAGATACAGTCAACACACAGAGCGTTTTTAAATAGTCTTTCACAAGGTTCACTTTTTTAACTTCACAAATGGAGTTAGCAAATGGAGTCAGACTGAACACGTACCAGAAGTTTTTCGGCCTCTTTTACTATCTCTGCTGTTTTGGCTTCAAGCTCTGCATTCATAATTCTATCAAGAAAGAATCAATCAAGAATAAATATCAAACTTTGGTTTACTGACATGTTTGTCAAATGAGTGAAAACAGAAAACTGAAAGGGTAGGGGAACAGAAGGTCTTACTTGTATTCTTCTTCTTTTGCAAACAGATTGTCTGAGTCGATCTTTTTGAAAGCAGATGCAGATTTTACCTTTGGTTTTATTTGATCCATCTTTGACTTCTCAGCCTTAGAACTGGATGTTGGGCGTTTCTTGTATAAAAATCAAGCAATATAGATGTATTTATCATATCATATCATACATAACAGCCTTCTATAGTCTGTTATGTATACAAATAAGCATTCTTTTCCTTTTGAACGTTAGAGTCATATGTGCTGTGCATGTTAGTCTTAGGATGATGTCAGTAACAAACAACCAGGAAAAGAAATATAAATACAAATATTTTTACTATATTTAGAAATGTTGACCAAAAAGACTTTTTTTGTTCATTTAAAACAATTACATTCACTATCACAAAATGGTAATTTGCATAAGGTTTGAGAGAAAGAACTCTTTCTCTCTGAAGTCATTTCTACGTAGGAAAATGTATCCATCAAAGTATGTAAGTAAAAGACAAATTATATTAAAGTTGATCGACAATAAACTAAAGATAGACAGAGAAACAAAGGTTTGCTAATATAATTAGGAAATAAACATAAAGAAAAGAGGAAACAAACCAGTGAAACGTAGGAAGAAGTCTTTTTGGCCAAACTCATTTCCGCCATGATACAGAAACAGAGTCTGGTTGCTTAGTAACGTCAGCCTGTTTTTCTGCAGGTGCAAGGCGGTCTGGGATTCCTCCAAGCTCTGCTGCCTCACACTGGTGTGGATGGGGTACTACATACGATTACTTAAACCCTATAGATTTTGAACGCACCAAGCAAATGTACAAAAAAAAAAAAACACCTCTGGACATCGGCTGCCCCGTTGTTAACAGTTAATACAACAGACTGTTAGTTTTATCAGTAAAATTGAGGGGTTTCGTTCAGAAATGACTAAGGCATTTATTTATATATTTATTAAATGCTAAGGAACTTAGATTCCTTCTTACAAGATGTCTTCAAAACTGTTCCATAAACTGCAGTCGGTTAGTGAAAGAGGTCTCGTAGCCATCTAATATTGTCATGGGCTTCCTATATTGTTTTTAATGCTAAAATATTCTTCCTCTTAGCAAAGTCAAAACTTTAAAAAAAATACTGTAGCTATTGAGTTCAGAAATATTGCATTCAAATGTGGTATTTATAAAAGCACGTGGGGAATTATAATGTTTACTATCGGCCTCAACCTCAACTGTAACCTGATAAATCCGACTACTGTCGCTTCTATTCCCTGCAGACATGTTTACATGTTTTTACGCACAGACGTTCAGTGCGCATGCTTGATCCTGCAGCCTGTACTCGGTGAGCACATGCAGAGAAATCCCAGAGCGAGGGGGCAGAGCAGCTCACCACAGAGACCAGACACTTGTTTTTCAGCTTTTTATATCCATGCACGGAGCCCGGCTCCAGCAGAAGCCTCCTGAACTGTAGCTGCTGCAGGGGCTATTTCATTCGCTCAGTAACGGAGAGTGGGAGAGGCAATGTGGGAGGAGGAGGGCCGGCTGGCTACAACAACACGGCGCACTGCTGCTGCTGTCCGGTCAGCGACTTCACGTCCTGCTCTCTATGCTGTTTGATCCCACCGGAAGACTGCATCCTTTCACGGCTCCATTTCAGTCTGGCGGTCTGCCGCGATGGACGAGGCGGACCCCCAGCAGCAGCCGCAGCCGCAGCCGCCGCTGCAGGAGGACAGAGGGGCGGGGAGTCTGGCCGCCCTGCCCGGCCTACTGCCCGGGCTGCAGGGAGCTGAGGCCAGTGTTCTGCAGCTGAAGATCAAAAACAGCATCTGGTAAGGAGATGGTCACACAGACACACACACAAACAAACACACACACACGCGATATCGATATAATTAAGTAACAAATTTAAAGTTGTAATAGAAACTGAAATGAAATGATATCAGTATGGATCAATCCTGGTCCAGACATCTTGGTGTCAGATTCATTCATTCATCTTGGCTGTTATTTTATGGGTAAAGATGGAACCAATCTCATCAGTAACTGTTTGAGGGCGGGGTACACCCGTTCACCAGTCCATCACAGGACCACAGTCAGACAATCAGCCCTTCACACTCACAGTCATAGCTGGAGTCAATTTTAAGAGAGAAATTTAACATATTTTTGGACTGTGGGTGGAAACCAGGAAACCTGGAAAAGACTGATACACATGGGAAGAATTTTCAAACTCCATGTAGTAAGGCTGGGAAACTAACCAGTGAACAAGTCATCCAGGTTTGATGAACCAAAACAACAGCACCATCTCTTTCAATAGAAGTAATAGTTATATGTTGAGGGCTTCAGCAAACATTGTTGATTAAAAATGAACAAACAGTGCGAGGCTGACATTTGTGTTTTAGTTTTTTATTTAGAGTGACATCTAATGCACATGCTAAGAGTAGTGCTCCATCCCTACCTGAATGTTCCATACTAAATTTAAATGTTCTTACCAACATGTTCCTTACTCAGTGTTCCCAACCAAATGTTCCCACCACATTTTAGGCAGTTAGGAGACAAATTAGTGATACAGCCTAGTGATACACAGAATAAACTTCTAAATACACTTAAATCAAATACACGAGTTAAGGATTTTTTTGAAATGCACAGAAACAGTATTATTATAGTAAGTGCAAGAGTATGGTATATATACTTTATATATACTCTCTCTCTATATATATATATAATATATAAAATAAGACAAAATCTAAGTAGTTAAAGAATGTGTGAGGCCCTTTAATTGATCAACAGTATCAACATCCTGAGGTAAATAATGTGATGTAAGGTGTACTACACATTAATCTCCAATTTAACATGTATAAGACAAGTGCAATAATGTGTAAGTGTGGATGTAACTGTTCTTTGTTCGTCCGTCATCAGCTACAGCCGTCATGATAAAACCTCCTGCTGCAGCATGCTTTTGTCTCTGCCTCAGTAATAATTTACAAACAGAATTAAAACTAAGTGCAGGCTCAAAGTAGACCTGTTTACACTAAATGCCTCCAACAGTGAATATTCATTGTACCTGTTTCAGGAGATATTGACGTCTGTCCTCTGTCTTTTTACACGTCAACCTCTTAAGAGGATTAGAGAACAAATATTGACGTTTACCTCAGTGACCCGGGCTGAGGGGGTTTATGGTAGAATGAGAACATCTTACTCGGGGTTAGCAAGTTCATGTATCACTACACTGTCATCCTCCATGGGCAGAACGTGATGGTGTGTACCTGTACATATTATTTTGTTGTGATAATGATATAGTTCAACTACACGATCTTTAGTATCTTGATTACCTAACAGCTTAATGGCAGATCCATAGTAACAGTGAGTTAAAGCAAACTGTTTCTGCCCTGGCTCACAGTCATCTCCTGTCAGGAGTCTTTAAATGCGGCCTACGTCGACACCAACCCAACCTGTCAGGGTACAGATTAGGAATTAGACACTAGAGCAGATTCATGAGTTGTGCTTTGTTGTTTGTACACCATTACAAGTACACTACCATAGGACTCTGTGGTCCTCTGAGTCAATTCTTCCTTTCAAAATATAAAGCTTAGTTAGTCCGTAGAAATCTGTGTGTGTAAAAGACAAGAGCTGAATGTACATGATCTATGAGCCCCCAGACAGTACTGCATTAGAACCTGCCGTGCCACCATAATGGACATAGCAACGTGTGCTGGAGACTACTCGAGTAAATCACAGTTGCTCAACACGGCCGCTGCATAAATGAATGCTCCCTGAGACTGTATCATTATAAGAGGAAGCCATTAATCAGCCTTGTGCAGAAATGCTGTCGCTGCTGCTCTGAGGACTAATGGACAAAACAATCATGTTCTGTGGCCCAATGATTCCACTGTTGAGCTGCATACTCTGTGTGACCCCCCCATATATATATATATATATATATATATATATATATATAGTCAAGACAGTCAAACTATTATTTCTTTGAAAGTGTTTTTCCCATCTATGTGTTTGACTGTCAGTCCAGATCTGTTGTGTATCAACCAACTGAAACGCTAGAGGAGAATAAGGAACGTACAGCACTAACAGAAACCAAATCTGTTGCGGTTCCTAAACAGTTAAAACATTTGATTAAGAAAAAGAGAAGTAAAAAGACAAAATAAATAATCAAGACAAAAAGCCCTATGTCTGTTTTTTTTAAAGTGATTGTTTTCTTTCTTTGTCTTTTCCTAATCACAGGGTTTGTACAGTCAGCTCTTATTTTGACCACACCGGTTTATTTGCTGCTCTCTCTGAATTTAAAATATATAGAAGTAATGAGTCTTTGGGTAAAAATGACAATAGTACCACCCAAAATTTACAGTGTAATTGTTATAAATGTGATCGATCGATGGTTGAGTATATGGATGTCTTATGACAGACCAGTTTTTGCAGTTGTAAAGATCATCTTCCTTTAGGAAATAATCCTGGAGAATGCATGCTCAGTGTTCTGACTCTGAGTGTAGACAGAGTTTTCAGGTGGATGGAAGTCCTTGTGTCTGGCGCAAAGTTTCTAAGGTGCTGCTCTGTCCCGTTTTACACATGACACCATGTGTTCCCAATGGTGGGATACATGACCGGAGAGATGCTGAAGGGAAGGTCGTCATACCAAACATTCCTTTGCTTTATAAATAAATATACTTTAGACACAAGAGCTCATGTTACATTAGCTTCACGTTAATTCACACTGTGTCTCTGTTTTACAGTAAATCTGTTCAATCACAAGTGGAAAACATTCTGGTGAGTGATTTTAACATGTTCTACATATGTTTTATTAAACCACGTGGGCGGTTGTCAGTGGATGGAGTGATACAAGTCCATGGACAGGGACATTGACGCTCCCACTATCATGTTAAGCAGGGGTGCCCAATAAGTAGATCAGGAATGACCAGTAGATCTCAAAGGGAGTGCTGGTAGATCCTGAGCATTTACATTTAAAACATTGAAATTATAGATGCAATTCTATTTTAAGATGCTAATCACTAGGGCTAATGTAAGGATCATATAAGTATTGAGTCAGACAGTATAATGTAAATAACACATAAGGTATATAATGATATATTCCGTTTATGAGTAAATATACAGTATATTTAGAGTTCTTAATGTGGGTAGATCACTTTACCCTGGTACTTCTATATAGAATATCCACAAATATGTTCACTGGTCATTTAACAAGTAGCTCCCAAGACAAACAAGTGTAGACGCCTCTGATGTAAAGAGAAGGCCTTATACAGTACAATCAGATCAAGTTCTGTCCCTGAGATAAGACACGTTTTAGGATGCCATTCTGTGGAACACAAATAAAAAGACAATTTAGACTGTTATGACAAGTTCAGAGTTGTGTTCATTTAACATTAATAATAATAATACATTGTGTTTTTTGTGAGCTTTCATGGTTCATATCCATGTGCACTATATATATGTATATATATAATAGTTGAAAGAGAATGACATTAAAGTTCTTATTTTTAGAAACTGTGTTTTTATTACACAAATGTAAATACTTTACATTTGCTGTATAGTAGAGGGTCAGTACTGTGGGTGTACATGTCTTATGGATGTCTTATTTTTTATTGTTACAGCAAGATGTGGAGAAGTTCTCAGATATTGAAAAACTCTACCTCTACCTTAAGCTGCCTAATGGCCCCAGCAGCAGCAGCAGCAGCAGCAGCACTGGCTCTGATAAAAGGTCATTTTTCTGAATGTTTTACTTTTTGAATTGTTGTGTTTAAACAAATGAATTGTTGAAATGAATTTGTGAAAATGTTAAACAACAACAACCCTGGTCTATTTCACAGTGACCAGAGTGCCTTGTCATCCAGCCGCACTCAGCAGATGCATGCCTTCAGCTGGATACGGAATCATTTAGAGGAATATCCAGAGACCTCTCTTCCCAAACAGGAGGTCTATGATGAATACAAGTACGTCACAGTGTCCATTTGAAATGTTCTTGCTCATGAAAACGTTGATTTAGTTTGGTCAGGAAAAAAAACCTTACTTTAGCAGCGGCTAATATCTGAGTGGCTACACTGCTATATGACTGTGGTCTGAAGGGTTAGTATAAATAGCCATCCAGGCATGAGAATTGCAGCAGCATGTGCTGGTAATATTAGAATGGAAAGTCTGAGACAGTGGATTGAAATGCTCTGACTGAGTTATGTAAGTGTCTTTTTATTCACTCAACTAGTACAGAAATACAGTGGCCTCCAGAAATGTTGGCGCCTTAAGGATAGTGAGGTGAGAAGGCTCAGTGCTAGTAAACTTTACCTTAAACTATTGAAAATGACCATCAGGTTATTAACCTTTGGAGACCTCACAGTATTGTTGACCGTTGAGTACTGTGAAAAACCTGCCAAGTCGACAGGTGGTAGTATAAACTTTTGATTATGGGCCAATGAGACGACAGATGAAGAGAAGACCAGTGCTAGCCTATTAGCAATGTCGTTTTCCCTGTCTATACCCACACACTGTGATTAGTCAAATTCATTTTTTTTTTACTTTTTCACAAAGTTAATTGTGTTTACGTGTGTTTTTTGTAGAAACAAAGTAACATATAAAGGTTACATTGGGTTTATTTAGAGAAACAACAGTCTGGACAGAGCTATATTAATGAGCTGACAGACACTACCTTCCAGGAAAAAGGGAAAACGTGTTTAATTATAAACCAGTTCAGATCTTAGGAGATTTTTCAAAAGTGTTACGATCAGAACAGATATTGTACCGCTAAAAAAATAATTCAGAAAGGAGGAAACTGGAAGAGATCCATATTGAAAGAACTGTGTTGAGCAGCTGCCAATTCAGTGTCATATATCCTGGACAAGTCCAGCTATTTGCCTGTTCTGGCTAGAGCTAAGGCATTGAGTACAAAACACTTTCAGTGATTAAACGGATCATTTTTGTACAATTTACTTGTGCTGTTTTACTGCTCATTTGTCAAAACATGACATGTATTTACTAAAGATCCCTTTAGCAGTCAGGCAAAAGAAGATTTAACAACCAAATGGCTGCAACCCCAACCTTTAACAACGACGGGAGATATTTCCCCGTAGCGTGGTCCCAAATGTTTAGCCCCTAACATCAGACTGGCTGGAGTCAGACCATATCTTAGGGGGGGAAAAAATCCTGTTTTAACTGTTGGTACAAAAGTTAATGAGAAGTAGTGTATTTTGTTAGTAATTTACAAAACAAAGACAATTTTCTTTAAATAGCTTAGAGTATCAAACACTTGTTTCCAGGCCTCTTATTAGAACTCGGTGCTAACATGTGACATGTGGTCATCATTATCCAATAAAAGCCCTGTTGACGTCAACATTGTTGACTAAAACCAGGCTCCTAACTAGGTAAATACTGCCATAACTTACTTGTGTTGTAGAAAGCTTTATTTATAAAACCTTTCATCCTTTATCTGCAGCCAAAGGGCTTTGTCCGTGTCTTATGTACAATCTGTGGTTTGTCACAGCAATGTATTCCTGTTGCTCTGTGTTTCAGGGGCTTCTGTGACAATCTCAACTACCACCCACTCAGTGCTGCCGATTTTGGAAAAATGATGAAAAATGTCTTCCCCAACATGAAGGCCCGGCGACTTGGCATGAGAGGAAAATCAAAATATCCTTTACTGGATTGTAATGTCTGGCCTCTGGTCCCAGACCATCTGCTGTGGCAGTTCATGAGCTCTCTAAATATAGATGTGAAATAAGATAAAGCCCTGTCTGAACCACAAACTGAAGTATTAGACAGAGACCCACACACAGTCAGTGCGATGTTGACCTTTATGACTTAGATCTACTCACTCATTCATTTATGTACCTATAGAGACATTTTTGCGTATTACACTAACTTGTTATTAAATAATCATTATTATTCATAATGTCTTAATGATATATCCATTTTATTTTACCTTAACACCAGTGCACATATTGTTATAGCGGGTTAAGAAAGAGACCTTTTGTTCACATGCCATCATTACCTACTCTGGATCTCCATAAAACTGAAGTAAGGATCATTTTCACAACTCTATGAGTATTTCAAAATAATTGTGTCATTTATATAATCCTCAGTATTCAATCATGGATGTATGTGTGTAGCTCCAGGGTGATGTCCTGGAGTCTCCAGGTCAACTGAGTGGTATAAAAGAGGAGGTACGATTTGCAGCCTGTGACCTGGTGTGTGAGTGGGCCCAGAAGGTGCTGAAACGTCAGTTTGACTCTGTGGAAGACCTGGCTCGATTCCTGATCGACAGTCATTACATCAGCAACAAGTCTCTGGCGGCTCTCACCATCGTGACCGGCACAGCAGCAGGTAAACAGTGCTTGCACCTGCTATATAAGCAGTGACCCATAAAAAAGAAGCAACTATTGACACCTAGCGTTGTTTGTGTGCCACTGCACCCATGAGCCTCGATTTGTATTTTATTGAACATGTTCAAAGGGAAAGTCAGTAATCCTTTTCGGGTAGTGGCAGGGAACAATCCCAGCAGTCATTAAGTGAGGGAGGGCTACACCCTGGACGGTTGACTGTACGGAGACAACCATTCACACTAAAGATTTATGATGAATAAAAGTGAACAATTACCTAAAATCTGCATGCTTTTGGAGGAAACCAGAAAATGTCCCCACTGTTGGACAAAAAAGGGACTTCTTATCTTAAACGTTGTGGCAGGACTACTAACTTCTTCCAAGGTGTGGCCCTGCAGTTACACGCAGTCTTACTCAGTGAGGTTATAGCCACTCCCTGTATTTTGGTTAGGTAAATCCAGCCACATGGTGACACACTAACTATTTTCACTCAGTTATATCTGGTCAATTTTGAGTGAACAGTTTAATTTATCGTGCATGATCTAAAAAGGATGTTGTGGAAGGGAGCTTAGAAAACTCACACACAAGTTTGGTCAAATAAAGTGGTGTTTTATTTCCCTAACATTCATTATAGATTATGTCTAAATAAATTTAAGAAATAAAATTAACTTCCTTTTTTTTTTGAGGATTGTTAGACATGTAAAAACAAGTGAGCACAGGTATTCTCTTATGGGACAAAAGTAGAATGCTGAATCTGTGTTGAAACGAGAAGCTCTGTTTGTTTGTAGGCATCTCTGAAGTAGTACATCTATGTGTGTGCTATACGTGACTACAGCCTTAATCAAAGTTAAAATCTACATCTGAATGTAGTCTACCCTGTTCTTTTCCAGCAGAGGTTAAGACTCCACAGCCAGTCTCAGCATTCGTCCCCACCGGTGAAGCTCACTCCTTCCAGCCTCAGGTGACAAACCTGTCGTCACCTTCTATTGATGCAAAGCAGCAGCTCCAGAAGAAGATCCAGAGAAAGCAACAGGAACAGAAGCTGTTGTCACCTTCACCTGGAGAGGGACAGGTCAAGCGGGATGAAGATGGTGTGCCTGGTGAAAGCCCGGCTCCTCAGTCCCCTCCTCCGACCATCGGCATTGTGGTCACTGCTGTGCCAAGTCCTATCACTGTAAGAAAGTTGGATTTAATGTTAGTTTATTATGTGTCATCATAATGAACCACACAAAGGTTTTTGTGGTTTTTACCTAAGCAGGCAAACAGATGCCAACAATAAGTATGTATTGAAAATCCGTTTCAGTTTTTCTGGCTTTTTAATTAGCATCTGTCTCTCCTCAGGTACAACGGAGCAGGCAACTAATGTCACCGAGTCCACTGGGAACAGTTGAGAACAAAGTGCTACCTATTAACATCCAAATGGTCACACAGCCAGTTCAGCCAGTGAAGCAGAGCCCCAGAACTTTGCAAAATATCCTGCCCAGTCCAGCAGGCGAACGCACTGCTCGGCAGCGCTATGCTCAAATCCTCCCCAAACCTATGTCCACGACTGCCATCACTTTACACTCCCCCTCTACCATGATCATTGCGAACAGCCCTATTAAAACTGTGATGACTACATGTCACGTTAGCCCTGTCAGTTTGGTCAAGATGACGGCCATATCACTGCCAGCAAACAGCGGCAGCGGCAACACCACCACATCCCTGAGCAGCGCAGGTGTGCGGTCTGCATCTGCAGGGATCAGCTGTAATGCAGTTGAAGACAACAGCTTTAATCATGCCATCAGGAGTGCTTCTGCAGTTCCCATTCTTGCCCCAGAAGCCAGGCCAGGGCAGGCCACCAGCAATCACAGCATTGATGTTGAAATGGAAGTTGAAGCTATACATAAAAACAGTCAAATGCAAAATTCTGGTGGTGTCGTCTTGGTTCCAGGAGAAATGAAAAACAGGACCGCAGGGGCTGTGCAGAGGGCTGCCAGTGTTCCCATACCTCACACCAAAGGCTTCCTTGGCCTGGAGGACATATCTGCCACCAAATGCAATGAAAATCCCTTCTCCAGCACTAACGCTACAGCAGTGGCTGTAAGCAGCAATACTAGCGATAGTAACACCAGCACTTTACACTTAGCTCCCTCCCCTCGTAATACCAGCACTGTTTCTTTAATGGACACCGGTGGATCATCTTTATCTGGAGAAAATAGTAATGCAACACCAGCAATGGCTCAGAGTCTCAGGAAACGCTGTGGCCTGAGTCTAGATCCTTCTCCAGTTAAAAAGCTATTAATGTCGCAGCAGACAGCAGAGGGCGCTGCTGCTATAGGGTATGGCAGAAAGGCTGCTGGTTATGGTTTCAGGCCAGGATCTCTCAGCAGACCTGAAAGTGCACCAGCTATCCCTGAGGTGGAGATACAGATGAACTCTGTCGTCACCACTCAAATCCATACACTTGGCACTTCCTCTTTTAGAACGAGTGGCTTTTACTCTGTTGCCAAAACACAAAACTCAATCGCTAGGAAAAACACTGCCACCGTTATGGAAACTAGCAGCACTATTAGTCATGCATTAATGCAGCAACAGCATGGACACACACCGGGCAGTATGCATGCAATACCTGATAACCCCATCCTCCAGGAACAACCAGGTCATGGTACACTCTCAAACCCAACTACAGGAAACATGGAAGGAGCTCGACATCAACTATTCACTCAGTCAAACTCTGCAACCGAACCACCGCAGTTTTTGAGTCAACCCTCTTCCTGCAGTCAGATGCCTATGCAGACAGATGTGGACTTCTTCTCCTTTGATGATGATGTGACTCAGGACAGTATTGTTGAGGAGCTGGTGCAGATGGAGGAGCAGATGAAACTTAACAGACTGATGGAGAGGGGGAACTGTGTCTCACTGCATGGGAATCAGGCTGTGCAGCAGGACAACTTCATGTCCACTAATCAGACAGTGGCAGCTTTTTATCATCCCACACACAATAGCAACATACCAGTCCACACTCCGACCCCGACTCCTACTCCCACACCCACATCTGAAATGATGGGAGGAAATCAAGGCCTCACTGGTGAGAGTCCCTGCTCCCGCATGGCTTCTACCACCCCTGTGGACAGTGCATTGGGAAGCAGCCGGCACACCCCCGTTGGTACTCCACATTCTGGCTGCAGCAGCACTGTGCCTCCAAGTCCAGTGGAGTGCAGGAACCCATTTGCATTTACACCTATCAACTCCATCACTGGCTTCCATGAAGGCAGCACTGTTTCCAGCAGTCCAGTTAAACCCATGCAGAGGCCAATGGCCACTCACCCAGACAAGACCAGGCTGGAGTGGATGAATACCAGTTACAACAACAACAGTGTCAGCTTGAACAGGTCAAACAATGGCATTGGGATCCTGCCAAGTTATCAAGGTCTCATGGATGACCATTTCCAAAAACCTCACGCCTTTGCTGTTCCTCATGCGCGGCACCATGACAGCAGTTTTGGCCGTTTGACTCCGATCTCACCGGTGCAGCAGCAGGTGGCTAACATGAGCAAGCAGGAAGGTTTTGCTGTGCCTGCTCCTCTAGATAATAAAACCACAAATGCATCTGCTGCAAACTTCCGTTGCCGCAGTGTAAGTCCTGCAGTACATCAAAAGAATTTCAGTGGAAATATGGGAAACAGCGCCCTCCCCAGTGCCCACCACTCGCTGTTGTCTCCATTTAACACTCCTGTAACACCAGAGATGTTGAGCATCTTTGCAAACAGTCAAACAAATCTTGGTGTGAGCAGCATGGTTCAGCGGAGTCGCTCTGTGCCGCTCAACATCATGATGCAGACCGAGGTTCTACCCGCAACAGGTCTGCAATGTAATAACAAGAACATCACCAGTGTCCTTCTGAATGAAATGGACTGCGACCGTGATGATGGTCTGCGGGGTTTGGCCATAAATAATTTGCCGTCCAGTTACACTGCACGTATGAACCTCACTCAGATCCTGGAGTCTGAGTCCAGTCTCTCCTGCGGTGACAGCATGATGACTTCTGACTCTACCAGCACTTGTAATTTACAGAGGCCAGAATATGTCATGGGAAATCAAGTCAATGAACAAATGCTGCTTTCTGCAAGTAACAACCACGTACTTTCCACCTGTAGTGAGCATCAGCAGGCCCAATCCAACCTAATGTTAACTTTGAACCAGCAGCAGCAGAAGCAGATGAATTACGGCAGTTCTAGTAGACAGCTCATAGAACAGGTGTCAGAGCTGACTACAGGTGTGGCAGGCTTCCCATGTGAAATCAGAATGACATCAGAGCTTCCCGGTACCATCAATGATCTTAATGCACTGGATACAAACCTTCTCTTTGACCCTAACCAGCAGCAAGGGCAATACCAAAACACAGCTCCAGAAGAACTGGTGACCGATGCACTGTTTCAGCAAATTACAGGTGAGACAACAAATGCAAGTGGACTGGACTGGTTAGAAAACAAAGACCAGACCACTGTTGGACTCATGGGTTAAAAACAGATGTGTCAACGTTTGCTGTTTAGTTTTCGAGTATTTTTTATTTCCTTGTTTTTATATGTTCTATTTAAACACTGGACGCATTGACATTTGTCCAGTTTAAGTGCCAGGCTATGCTGCAAAAATGCTGCAATCCTCTGAATAAAATGCAAGTCATTTTGCCCTAAATCAGAGAATATCACCTGACATCGTTTGACCCAAGTGCATTTTCAAATTTGTGAAAGAGCCATTAATTTCTTTGCCTGAAGAAATCCTTAAATGAAAAAAAATATTATTATTAATTTGTGTACAGCAATAACCCTTTTATCACTTTAACTAATTTTAATGCTTTGTGTCATCCATCATGAGCAAATAGGCAGAATTGAAGTTTATGCAAGAATCAAGTTTTGAGGGAGCTCCTGCTCTTTTGTCCAGTTACATAATTGACATTTAATGAGGCATAAGACTGTTCAGCTGTTACAGAAACTTTACTTTCAAGTTTACAACAGCATTCATAAATATGATTTGCTGTCATTTTTGTAATCTAATGTAAAGCCATTGTACATTCTTTTGAGTCAACTAATTAATAATATAATGGATCAATGCAATAACATTAATCCATATGCAACATCTGTTCTACTTGATCATTAGTTTTTTGTGGAGAATACCAGCAATAGACTACATAAAAAAATGTATTAATCGATGCATGAGGAATAAAACCCGAATGTAGACACACTGAGCCAAAATGTAATGTATGTCTTCATTCAAAACCTGCTTCAATATGCAACTTCTTTAATGGGTCTGTGGTGTTTTAATGTGATTCCCATGTAAGTTTAACACAGAATTTAAGATGAGAGCTCAACCACTGTGAAAAAGAATTTAGAACCTACAGCCTGGATCAAGACCCTTTGTTGATACAAAGTCGGCTGTAGTTTGTTAATAACATAGGATGGTTCCTATACTTATTGTTCTTTGTAGAATGACTGGGTTATGACTAATTGAATGCAATATTAATATGGTGTGCCAATGCAATGGAACAATGAAAATGTCAAACACACTGCCCTGACAATCTGCAATACTTGACTTTTCTTCAGAATGAAATACTGTGTGTGGTTTGGATAAAATCAAGCACTGCCAGTGTAACATTAACCAACCATGTAAACACTAGAGTCCAGACTAGCCTTTGCACTGACAATGGACAGTGTCTAATGAAATTGAAAGTTTTTGGTTTCTCAGCCTTATACTCAAACCAAAGAAGACATTTTTGATATAATGGCAGATCTCAGATCTTGGCTGTCTACTGTAAAACTAAGAATTGGTGACATTTGCAGCACTGGAATACTTGTTTTCTTTTCTAAACCTAAAGCAGTTCTTTATCAAGAATTAAATTGTTGTCTTTTCAACACTTTTTACACGTAAGAGGTACAACATAACAAAAGGAAAACACTGTAATTCCCCCCTTGTTATGGAATCCCTGAGTCTCTCTGATGCCACATTAAATGTGTTGGATTTTATGTGCCCAGCACTTTTTTGTGTTGTGGTTATTTATTTACATTTTGTTGTTTGTACAGAGTTTTTAAAAATATATAAATGTGTGTAATCCCAGTAATCCAACTTGTAGGGAATAGTATGTTCTATGTGTCATAGCAAATTACCACTTGTATACACTGTACATTTCTCAACTGATGTCCTGTTCAAATGTGAGAAAATGTATCTGTAGCTTCATTTTATGTTAAAGAAACTGCGCTTGTTTGAATTATTTACGTTCATATATATGGTGAGCCAGTTGCTATGTTATTGGTGTATGATTGTTGATATAATTGACAGTGATTCTCTCTAACTGGAAATGTGTTGGGAGTTATCCCAGAAAAATTGCACGATTGCAAGATCAAAAAATAATTGTAATGTGTTTCATTATATCGTGTAAAATCAATATCTTGATATATGAAAAATGCAGAGCATTTAATCTTAAATCTTACAGATTACAGAACTTGTAACCTTTATAAAAGCAGTAGCAAAGTAAAATGTGATTTGAATTTTAGGTTCAAATTTCAAATTTTTTGACTACTTAAAACATTTTTTTAATTTATATTTTGATTTTAATATATATGTTTTTGACTTTTGAAGTTGCTAATGTTTATCTGTGTATATTTAAAAAACAATATTTCCTAAGGGTCTGAGTTTTGTGTTTGATGAAGACAATACCCTTCCTCTTGGTATAAGCATAGAAGATATGTAAAAAATGTGGCTATATAAATCAATGGCAAATATAATTACTTTTCACTAATAGTGGAAGGCCAATCAGCTGCTGCCGAAGAGTTTTATGAAGAAGTATGAGTTCAATTAGGTATTATGCTAAATGTTTTAAATTGGCAAATCAGAGGTAAATAAATATATGATAAAACACAGTAAAAGACATATGTTACTAAAAATAATTATTTTTAAGAATTGGAATATGAGTGAATGCTTTATCTCATGACATGTTTTATAGTCTATTGTCCTTAACTAAGTATTGATACCCAAAACACCTTAGGAAAAAAAGAGTAAAAAAAAAAAAGGTGACAAGCAGCCTCATGTTTCCATGTACGTCTGTTAATATGAAGCTACTTCCAAATATGGTCGCAGGACTTCTGGTCTTCTTCCTGGGCTTCATTTTCCAGCCATACTTTCAGCCCATTTCTTATATAAAGTCTATGGTTTTACGTTATACAGAGCTGTGGAGCTGCTCTGCATTGTAGTCGTGTTGCTGTGGTCAGTGTATAGATATATTTTGTTTTCTTTGCATTTTAATAAAACAAAAGAGGAAGTGTTATTTAATAATGATTTTTAAAGACGTTTAATGTTAATAAACATTTTCCATAACACTTATGCTGTCTTGTGTATGTTCTATGAAAATAAAGGTTGAAAATCGAAGTATCAAAATAATTTTACCTAGGAACAAATTAATGTTTGCCATTGTACAGAATTAATTAGGTGTATAACAAACACTTAGAATGAATGTATGTATTCATCATTTTTATAAAGTATCATGCAAATCAAATACAGTGCATCTTAAGCAACAAGAGAGATAAATCTCTACTTGAGGGACAAGCTTGGGCATGCAGGGTTGGATAACCAGCTCACGTCACGGACTGTGGATTACATGACTAGTCCAGGCCATTATATGAGGAAATGGGATTGTGTCTCAGGTCAAATTGTCTACAGTAAAAGGACCTCAACGAAGAGATTTCTAGCTCATGTAGCAGTCGGAGAGTTGCAACCACATGCTTAATGGCGCCTCCCGTGGCAGCCTGTGTGAGTTGCAAAGGCTCACACTGGATTTTCACATTTTGGGACGAATAAGGGACATAACTTTTTTTTACTTCCCGCAGGTAAAGTAATAATATAGTAAATCTATATAAATATAGATTTGCTTTTCATATGTTCAGAAATAATGAACTATTCTGTATTTTTGTAGTGTGTGCAATCGGTGTTCCTGCTGTTGTTTAATGTGCATTATTGGATCTACACTTTTACACTGGTGGACTTTTGGTTTAATTTATGTCTATTTTTTTCACGTTTTATACATTGTGTGTATACATTCCTATTACTTTTGGATCTGCTAAATCACTTTCAAATTATATTTTTCTGCTCAAATAATGTCTCTGATTCTGTCTGACTCTGCACTATTTTCTTGAAAATAGTATTTCAAAGTGTAACATTGTTGCTTCTTTTACTATTATACACGCTTAAACAAATTTACATGAACCTTTTCTGGGTTTGCGCCAGACAACAGGGAGGGCGAAGAAGGAAGACGGAGGAGGGAAAGGCATCAGAAGGAGGGAAATGCATCAGAAGGAGGAGGAGAAGAATGAGGAGGATGGATACATCGGGTGACGACGGTGTGACGGTTATTATTGACCGTGGCTGACGGTGTTTGAAGGCCGAACTGCAGCTACAGTGTGTGAGAGGGAATAGTATAGGCGGAGTAGTTCAGCGAAGAGGCTGGTATTTGCTCTTCGACAGGACAAGCCTCTTCTTCTTGTCGTCCTTGTTTTTGGTGTTGTTTTCGGGAGAAAAAGAATAATATGGCTACACATTCTCCACAAATCAGAGGACTTCCTACTGAAGAGGTAAAACAATGACCACTTTTGTCGCCTTTTTACAGCTCCTCATGTGATTCCTGTCGATAAGCATTTAAATGGGGTAACGAACGTATATGTTACGTAACTGTTGGCTTCAAGCACTACTTTCTGTAAGTGAACGGCGGTTATGTACTTTCTATAATGTTTACTGCATTTTAAAATGTCGTCCCTCAATTTGAAGACTTTTCTCAGCGAGGAAAATCAACAGGCTGTCACTACTTACAACTACCGCCCCTCTGTGAGCCATTTCCCGTATAAACACTCAGACACGCGCGCGCGCACTCAGTGAGAATACTATCGACTAGCCCACAGTTTTTTTGGGGGAAAGTGAAAAACAACAGTGAAAACGTTTTTGAATATATTATATATTTTGAATTAGATGTTTTAAAAGGTGTTTTATTTATAAACAAAGTAAGAAAATAACCTAACCAAAGGCTGTACATTAAGTAACAGAGAAAAATGTAGTAACGAAAAAAATAAACGAGAGGAGACTATTATATGATTTGTACAAACGAAAGAAAGTAACCAATCATATCGCATCTTCCAGAGAAAGATAATAAATTGGGATGATTGTGCAGGGGGATCCCAAATCTCTTAGAATTTCTCAGATTTATGGTTAAAGAACACAAGTGAGCCTCTCAAAAGGTATTAAATCAGATATTTGTGATATCTACATGTTGACTACAGGGATGCAGGAAATGGACCAGTGCAACGAAATACATTTTCACCCAAAAATAAATAATAAATAATGAAAACGATTTATTGTTTGTGTCAGAGCTTATGTGAAGTACAGAGGAACCACATACAGTACTAGAACTAGTGTAATTTAAAGTGTTTCAATTTTTATTTGAAAGCTTCTTCTGCATGTTACTAACTCTGACTTGGAGTCATTTGGAGTCGTGTTGAACCACTCTAGTATTATATATAGAAATAAGAAAAAAAGAGACGTGTCGCTGTTTCACATTTTTTGGGGAACTCAAAAAAATGTTTTTGTGGCTCAGAAGCTAAGTTTTTAGAGGGCTGATAATTGTTGTGGACCAGATAACAACATTAACAAGATGACAAGAACACATGGTGGTGATTCACAGAGTTTCCAGGAAAAACATTAATGAGAATGTGCAGCTCAAGGAAATATACCAGAGTTCAAGGTGTCGTCAAGAGATACGGCAGAGTTACGTAGTTCCTGTGATTACACAGATGCATGTGACAGTGTTTACGACTGTGATTCACCACATTCTTTGATATAATCTGGCGAACAAGTTAGTATGTACACCAGAGTTGAAACAATGCATGCATCTCTTTGTACATTCACTATCAATAAATAAACACAAAAATATTACTCTATATTTTAAAATAACAATATAACTAATATTATAAAATAATACTCAAAATAACATATTTATGCTCATACTGCAAGGGAAACATAACATAAAATTCTATTTTAATATTAGATTTTGTTTCACCTGATTTAGGTAAAAAAATGAATGTAATTTGATGTGTTGTGTCATAGTTAATGTTACAAAATAAATGTATGTGTATTTCCTAAATATTAATTTTCCTTTTTATTTGTTCAAGGTGGAATCCAGAATCCTGAAAGTAAAAGTCATCAGTGGAATAGGACTGGCGAAGAAAGATATCCTTGGTGCCAGGTATGTATGTTTACATGTGTATGTAAAAACAATAATTTGTTTTGTGTGGACGTTGTTATGTAACTTAACTATTAGTTAATTCCTGTCTCTCAGAATAAACACCAGGCAATTCTGATGTCATTTGATATTGTCATGTTGATACCACATATTTTCCATTGACGCTTTGGAAGTTAAACGATTTTTTTCAGAATTAATCATAATTAAAAATATGCTGCTTTTTAAAATATATTTTCAGTTTTTAAAATTATTTCTGCTTTTATAAACCTTTGATTAGCACTTCCTTTTAGCTCTTTCTTTAGCTCAAAAAATATTCCAAGCAAGAGATTTAATGTTACACTTACACCTTTCACACAATGCTTTAATAAAAATGAGCTTCTCAGGGTTAATTTTCTTATTTATGTTTTTTGTTGACTTACATTAATCCTCCTATGTGTTAGGGAATATATACTGTATGTATCTTACTTTAGTCTTGATGGAAAAATTAGGTGCAATTGGGATACTGTGGTACAGCTTTTGTAAGGCAGATGCACCTAATTTGAGTTACCTAATCAAATATTTTCACCAAAATACCTTTAAAGTTAATATCCCAAAGATTTTAAGTATGTCGCCATTTTGACCCTAGCATCTGTATTATTGTTTGATTGTGTGAAAGGTAAGAACAGAGGAAACCAATCACAGATGTAACCATGAAGATGCCTTGTTGATGTGATGGAGATCTGTGAGTCTATGTCTTAAACATAAATAAATAAACTGCTGCAAACATCTAAGTTAAATAAGAAACCTGATCCCTGCTTGGTGAAAAGCATTATTAATGTAACTTTGGTGGGGCATCCCATTTTCCCAACATCTGGAGGGTGGGCAAAACTTAAAAGACCTAAATAGTTAATAATAAATTAATGTTCTATTAATAATATACTGCAGCATTTACCTTATAATTGAAAACAAAAGAACCACATGCACCACTAAAGACTGAGAGGAAAAAGTTTAACTTTTTCAGAATTTTTGCAGTGATGTTTTAAACCCAAATATGATGTTGTATGACTTTTTTTTTCTTTTCTTTTTTGCAGTGATCCATATACAAAACTGTCCCTTTATGACCCAGTAAATGGTGAACTAACAAGTCTTCAGACCAAAACAATAAAGAAAGTGAGTATTTTTGTTGTATTCTATTTTGAGCTTTGAGCTATAAGGCAGACTTGTCAGTAGTTGAATCTGATTTTGTTCTCTCGTTTTTTTGTCTCCTAAAGACACTGGATCCAAAATGGAATGAGGAATTCTTCTTTAGGGTAAGAGTCACACAACTGCATTTGTACATAATAGGGAAATTATTAAAATTCAGTGTGATAGCAACCAGAAATACAACACATGGAAGCATTCATAATCAAGAATTATATAATTTATCAAGGATATACTGTACTTGTTAATAAATGAGCTGTGTTAGTATCACTTCCTTGTCGTTTAACTTGGTACTCAGCTTTAAGTTGTTTTTTTTTGTTTTTTTTAGGTTAATCCGAGGAAGCACCGTCTACTGTTTGAGGTGTTTGATGAAAATCGACTTGTAAGTTTTAATTTTATTTTCCTTCACTTTCTTTCTCCAGTGGTATGGTTCTATGGTTGGTGGTATGGTTCTTTGCAAATTGTGGTTACACATTTAGCTGGAATATCAGCGGTTAGCATGCTTCTTAATTTGTTAACTTTTAATATTTACAATCAATAAAAAAATGAGGATAGTAGGAATAGAGATACCCAGGCTAACAGAAGACAAAATCAGATTTGCACTGAGCTTGCCACGTTAAGTCTCATGAGTCTCTGGCAATGCACTCTTTCATATGTTTATATGTTGTGTCATTTTCATTGATTTAAAGTCATAAACACAATCTGTCCAGCAATCTGTTTTAAAAGAGTGTTTACCCTATAAAAACTAAACAAAAAGGTGTCACATTTCTGTATGTGGTGGTATTGGCCACTCAGTAAAAGGTAAAATACTATTCAGCCTCTGCAGCCCGTATTATGTCATTCATGAGATTTTGTTTGAAAACTGAGATGCCTTATTACTTACAACTGTAAATACAGGCAAGTCTGTCTGCCTTAAGGGCATCCTAGCTGTATTGTGTGTTGTGCTCATACATTGAATTAAGAACAAGGTGCCTGAAAGAATCAGTGAACACAGAGAGTGAAAAAAAAAACAATTACATAAGACAATTTCTGTTAAGGCATGTTTCACAGACAAGTCATGGAGCTCGTCTCTCATTGGAAGCACTTGTGCTGTGAATCACTATGCTATTGGGATTTTTTTTTTTTTTTTTTTTTGAATCGTGAATCATGAGTCAAGTGAGAAGTAAGCTTTTATTTTTCCACAGACGGCCATTTGAACATAGTCATCGGAATTGTTTGCCATGTGTTTCACATCTTCTTTTCAGGCTTTACTCCTCAAACCATGCTGTTTCTTTTTGTTTTCTTACATATTGTCTAATGAACTGGGGCGATGCCTGTGTCAGTAGTTCAGTAATAGACCTACATTTAGTGCAGAGAATTGTTGAGACAGAGAGCTTTAAGGAGTGTCATGTTGTAGTGTAATATCAGCTGAGGAGCTGACCCACTTCCTG